AAAAATATTATATTATTTAAATGGTTTAAGCTCATCTAATCATTTAATACTATTTATTCTTCATATTTGAACATTTATTGAATTACATTTATCTATTTATCACAGAGCAGTTCTGTCAAAGCATGGTTCTAAATAAACAAGCTTAGCACATCCGAAACCTTGTTGTTTCTATAAAACTGTTCAGAATTAAATTTGCATACTTATATAAACTACAAAACACATTTGAAACACTCTCTTAGAGAACATGGTGATGTTCTCCCAGCAATGATGGATGAACGGGGACATTTAACGAAAATTAATCTTTGCTTTAATATGAGGCAACGGAAATCCATTGTGGAGACGGAGAAATACTTTTTATATAAACAGCGGTTTTCTAAACAGTTATGACGAACATTGTTAAGGTTTTCATCATCAACCATCAGTTTAAATACAACATAGTTTACATAGTATCTCAAACAGGGTTCAAGATGAGCACAGCCTCCATCAGGAAATTTACAGGTCATGTGCTGAAAGTAATCCCTGTTTGTTGACTTCTGGCACGGTGAATACGTGACTACTTGGAAGTCACATTCCTGTCCTCAGGCATACAAAACAGCAAATATCACAGAGTACAAAGTCATTGGTAAAGTTTTTCAAGTAAACCTAGTGCTGAATGCAAATCAGGATGAAAACATTTTAAAGAGTCACAGCAAGATTTTAAGCACTATGAGATAATAGCATTTCGCCAAATTTGTCTTTTACCATCTTAACAATCTCCAGTATTTAACTTTATAAGTGTACCTGACTTGTCTTATCTGTGTTGTGTACCAATGCTCAGTTGTTTTAATTGTCAACTTAAATTGCTTAATATTTTCTTTGCCCTGAATCCTCTTTTATTCTGCACTACTTTATTCACCTTGGAGGCAAGGAGTTGTTGTTGAGCTTCGATTTGTTGTTGCTGTCTGGCAGCCATCTCTTGTAGCTCCGCCAGTGTCATGTCCATCCGAGGCGTTGTCATCTGAAATCAAAATAAAATAAAATCTATTCAAGCTCTTCTTTGTGAACTGAATTAAAGTGGAGCATAATTTACACCTCAAATAAAACAGTTTAACATACTAGGTCACAGACTTTAATACTAAATATATGACCCAGATTTTACAACAAAGGGAGAAAAAGTCTTAGTGCATTACATATTTTTTGTTTGTCAAAACAAAAAAGTTGGTGATATTTGTGTGCCTTCAAGACTTAACAGCTTTTAATTCATTACTTTACTTGCTGAAAACATTTTATAACTCACCCCATTCTCCATTCTCCTGTCTGGGGGGGCTCTCACTCCATTCCTCTTTGAATCTGAGCCTCTGGAGCCTCCTGAGGAGTAGAAATGATGGATGATTTTAGAGATCAAAATCCGCAGCAGAGTTTTCTTTAAAGCTAATTCTTCCAAGTTAATGAAAAATAATAATAAAAAATGCAAACAGTGTAAAAAAAAAAAAAACTAGCCTTTACAAGCAGTAAAGGGAATGCAGTAATAAATTGGAACTCTCTCTTAGCTGCTTGCCTGTTTGTGTCTCACATAAAAGAGCACACTATGAAATCCACTGGCTTCTCTGGAGTTGCTGTAGGGAAGGGTGTGCATCTGGGTAAATAGAGTAGTTGACCCGTTCCAGGAAACAAAAGGGATTGTGTGCGTTGTGACTTCAAATCATCTTAGAGTTTAATCTAATACATGACTCTTGGTTCGTGGGTCCAAAACTTTTTGTACATCTGAACTTTAATCAACAAACTATTTGCATTTGGGGTCTAGTTCACAACTACTTTTCTTTTCTTTTCTTTTTAATTTTTTTGAGTCAATTCTAAATTTTATGGTTTTCAACAAGCTGAACATAATATTACAGTAAAGTCTAATGCAAAACTGATAATTTAATCAGCAGAGAATACATTTTATATTTTGATTTGATGATGAACTAAATACCTTTAAAGAATCAGGACAACGTAAACATCTAAAGAACAGCAGTACTATAAAGGCATCAAGTCCAATGGTATTTATCTAATTTGACCACCACAAAAACAGAAAATCAATAGAATCCAATAAAAAAAGTACAGCTATTGAAAAAAGCAATGCAGAGCTTGATTGCAAGAATGAAGAGCCAACAGTGTGGGAAACAAGACCAGCAAAAGATAACAGGGAGAGAAAACAACCATCTAATCCCTGGGCCAGACTCAAGCTGTGAGGAGTAAAGGGCTTAGTTACGTAACTGAAGGCTGAGCGGATCGCAAACAAGCAATATACTAGACTTTTTCATGTTCCTAAAAATTGAAAAATGACAGGCTTTCGATGATGCAACTGGGACACATGACATTTGTGCCTAATCTCTAATTAGATGGCTAAATAAAATGTAAGGATTTAACCCTCCTGCTGAGGCACAGAGGTTGACTTGACCTAAAAGGCACACAAGGGTTAATTCCCGTTTAAATGAAACCTTTATCAAAATAAAAGCACTATTAAGCATTTTATTTCTAATTCTTTATCTCTAGAAAGTGATTTAGTTTTATTTAAGCTTTGAAACGGCTGCTGATGGAATTTAGCTAGGAACAGTAGATGTTTGTGCATTAAAGGTTGAAGGAATCTTTGGCATTTATAGAGTCGGCGTCAAATGTCTTCTCCGACGACAACCTTTACTCAGGCGTGACTTTTGCGTGGGAGAAAGGACCTTTATCGTTCCAAGTCATTATCTGCTGTACGTTAAATGGAGTGGTCAGTTAAAAGTTTACCTGATTCCCTGTTAGGAGCTCGGTTGTGTCGCAGAAAAAAGCGCACCTCTCCCCTGTGCTGTCCCCACCGTTGGAGTACATCCAACATCCTCTCACCATCACCCACAGCTCTCTCTGCAGATACAATAAAATATATCAAAGATTTGTTAAGGCTGTTTAACCTACACAGAAAGGTGCATCCTACTGATGCCTCTAACTTCAGGAGGGAAAAAAATAAAAGTGTCCTCAATTATTCTGGCTGGCACTGAACCAAAGAGCTCATCAACCATACATCTACAGCCTAAAGCCCAGTTCATTACATGAAGGGACTGACACATTACAGTCAAGTAGAGGTCAATGAGACTGATATAATTTAAGGGAGCACACAGCAAAATAAAATAACAAGCAACAGACACGATAATAATCATTTGCACCCAAACCTTATTTGCAACATTGTGTTTATGAGGAGAGTAAAATTGGGTTGTGGTGAATGGCTGCGAAATGAGACTGGTTTCAACATCTTGCCATCTCATTTCAGTCAGAGTACTTATGGAAGTACTTGAAAATAATAATTGGCACTTTCCTCATTCATTCAGGAGCCTCACCATGGAAACGGCTATAAAGCCTGGCTCCTTGAGTTTTGATTCTGAATACGTACTGAATCTCAAAAAGGGGAAAATGAAGCAGGCATGAAACTTCAAAACCCATTGCACCTTCTATTTTGGAGACATAAGGAACATTCGAGCACATGTGTTCGTGACAGGGATTATAATCCCCACTTCATTTGCATTGCAGATCCAAACTAAAAAGAGATGAGCCTAATGAAAGAAATCAAGCAGGTGATCATGCAATTCATTTTCATAAAACCTGCAACATTTGTTGTGAACAGAATACTGAACACACTGACAATCCCACTTACCAGATCCACGCCACATCTCAGATAGATGACAGTCCGTTTCCCCCGGCTCCTTGCACAAGTCCACCACATCCCGACAAAGTGTGTCGGGGGTAACGGGAACCTCAGAGAAATGTTGGTCATTGTTACTGAGGTACACAGTCAGGAACATCTGTACACAGCAGGGAGAGAGGGAGAATGAAAGTTAGGCGGGCAGATTAGATGAAGACAAGATAAACAAAAAACAGAAGAAAAAGAGTTAAATTGCTGACACCAGAGGGTCTGAATTCCCCATGGTTCTGTGTGTGTTTGTTTTAAAATCGCCTGTCCTTCATAGCTGTATTTGTGGCTCCATTTCTTCATGTCAACAGAACAATCAGAAAACCACTCCTGAAATTAAATTTCAAACAACATGTATTTGATGAACACAAACATTAAAATACCCCCAAGTATTCTGGAGAGGCTTGGTTTTTATCAGGGTGTGAATGCGACATACCAGTCTAAAAAAAATAAAGCTTAAGAAATTTTAATGAGGGTGTCCAAGATGGAATGTGAAAGCCTTTATCTATAGCAGAAAATAAATAAATAAAACCAAGAACAAAACTGAACTCTTTTTTATTCAAATACAGAAATAAATATTTATTAATTCAAAATAAATATTTGAAATATTTAATAATGATAAATAGTATTTTTATGTATTTCAAATATAATTTGAAATATATAAAAATACTATTTATCATTATTACTTTAAGAGGTTTGTTTTAATTTAAAGTGAAGCTCAGATAATAATTAAAGTGACACTTGAAGCTATCTAAATGATGTTCTAAAACCTCTAAGCTCAGATGGTAAACGGAAGTATGACATATATGTCTTGTTGTGTAGTTATTAAAAAAATCTTTGCTAAAGAGGCTTTTAGAGCTGTGCTGGAATGGGCTATAGCACAACTATAATCTGATCCCACAGTGGGGCTGAGGGCTTAGATAACGCTGCAATAAAAAACACTATCATGACAAAGATGCCTAAGGCCATGACATAAACTGAATTTACTGCCCCAGGTTTTACTGCATCTGTAGTGACTTTAATAAAACAGACACAAAACTTCTCTATTAACCAGAAAAATGTACAATTATCAGCGTGGGTGTAAGTGTTGTGGAGCTCCAGGTTAGAGAGCCAGGTTTTCTGTTAAGAGCTTTTGTAAATGGTCATTCCTACACGGTGGGAACATCAGGATCATAAACACAAAGGGCTTGGGGAAAAAGCATGATGAGCAGATACAATCGTGATGTAGAAAGTAAAGTATTTGAGTTTTTTTTAAGTGGAAAGGGTCTCCTGAGAAATGGGCCCTCATCTCTATTTCTAGCTATTACTCAGCTTGCTGATTAGAAAAATAGGTGGTAATGTCTTAAATAATCTCCATAGCAATTCGCACAAATATATTTTAATAGTGATTAGGGAAAGGAGAAAGCAGCGAGTGGTCTGACTCAGACGACCATTTTAACTGGTTTGTTTAATGGGTAAGCCGATGAAAGGACCCCTAAAATAGAGCAATAGAATGAGTCATCCTTATCCGTAGTGAGTCATCTTTGCCAGAAATGTACAAGTCAAAAACAATTTGCCCCTTTGAGCCATGCTGGGGAACCAAGCTAAAACCAGGACTTGTTTTGTTAAATGCTTCAGAGCACTCTGATAGTATGTGGTGATCAACTAAAATAATAATTTAAAAAAAAAAACATTCACAAACTGCAATGCCATTCTGATGTAGTCCAACTTCAGCAAAAGATTTCCAAAAAACCCAAAATACAATTTATTAATCAGGATGTGGTAAATAAAATCCCAAATGTCTCAGAGTTGTAGGACATTTAAATTCCCATGTAGTAATATTTGGAAAATGAAAGAGAAGACTTACAAAAAGATGAGACGCATCAATGGGAGAGGAATTTCGTCATGGGGCGCCAATTCCTACACTGGAAGCTATTTCTCTTCAGCACTAAAGTTAATGATCCAGTAGCCAACAATGGCTCCTCCTACCATTCATCTAGATGAGCGAGCACTTTGTTGTTGACCTCCATTCACCTTGTGCATGTGGCCACAGTGATTTATGCAAGTACTTTACAGTTAAGCACACATTTTCAATTTCAGATAGAAACTGTGCCAAACACAGTGTGATTAGAAAATGTGTTAATTTTACCTGTTTTTATGTCCCAAAATGGATATAATTTGACTTTCAATTATTTGGAAACTCAATAGGTGACAATAATACGTATTAATACTTTTATATCAATGACAAAACAAAAGTAATCTTTAACGTGGTTTCCTTTATAATAAACAATGCCGCAGTCTCAGATTAAGTGAGGAAGTGTACTTGAAGATTCAAGAGTGGCTGGACTCCCAGTTTTGACTAAGCCAGACAAATTGAACTCATTAAATATTCATAGACACAACAAGCAAAATTAAGCACCTCAATAACAATCTGATGGGTCCATAGTGAAACAATCAAACAACACATCTGCAGCTGACAAGAAACGATTGCTTTAGGCTGTCTTATAAAAGCAGGGAGCAGAGAAGCACTACCGCTGTATGTCTATAACAAAGTTTGCCTCTGTCTCTTGGATGTGAAGCAAATTATAGAAACATGAGCTGAATTGCACTTCCTTCCTGTCAGAGATGAACTAAATAGATCACCCAGGGATGCAGAGGGGACATGCAGCCTCTGTGATTCACAAAAAGATTACTAATTGCACTGTACAGTCAGATAAAGCCAAGCTATCATGCAGCTACTGGATCTAGTGTCACAGTGAAGAGCAAAATAATGTACTCAAATCAAAAACAGTTTGGCCAGTCCTGTAGTTACTCACAAAAAGAAGTAGCTATATAGAGGTAACTGTGGATACATCTCAAGGATTAAGTTAACCTGCCCAGATTTACATTTTAAATATTCAGTAGCTTTTTAGCTTTTTAAATCTCACGACCATAAAAATGTACAATAGTGATAACTTGAGCAAGACTAAATCCAGCATTTGTGAAGCTGAGGTTTAAGACCTTTGGTTCAGGACACACTGGTACGGAAAGGCTTGTGTGTGTTTCTAGGAGATGAAAGGCTGTAAGATCAAAACCTACAGACAAAATCCACTGTAATAAGAAAACATCTAAGAGGAGAGAGGATGCAGCTGGCAGTGCTCGACCTGCCTCGATGAAAGGTTTGAACAAAAACAAAGAGGTACACTGTCACAGTTGTTCCGAGCTACTGCAAGGTGACTGCCTTTTTCTGTCAGCAATTCCATTTGGCTTGCAGATAACTTGAAATGTCTGTAAAAGCTGGGAAGTGAAATGCTAAACACCAAGACTATAAAGATGCTGTTTTTACTCTCTGTGATAAATTTGTGTTGCCATTAAAAAGAGCCATAAAAAGGAAATTACAAACAGATTTTTGCATTTCTTGTACTGTTCAGACCTCAAAGCAAAACCAAAATATAAAAGAGAGAAGTAGGCGGCCATTCTGATTCCTGCACTAGTGTCTGGAAACAGGTCAAAGAAAAATGAAGTTAGTACGATCCTTTGATAAGTTAATTGGAACAGACCTAAAAGCCTTTAAATCCTATCATCCCACCTTAGAAGTGACCCTCTTTGTGAAGGTCAATTCTGCTGCTATATGGTCTCCCTAGATTATTGCCCAGATACAAACGGTCACATATTAAATTAGGAATGATCAAAACTGTCTGCCACTGCAGTTTCTGAGTTCTAGAAATAAGATTAAGCACAAGGAATTGCTCTCTGATAGGACTACCCTGTGATATCAAAGTGACTCACAAATGAAAGTCCATCCAGTCTAAGATTTTTTAACTTTAAAACTTCCACACCAACTTCTGAGATCATTTCTTTTTTATGTTCTTTTCAAACATGAAATATGCAGGAATGACTTCACGGGTCTGTTCAAGCTTTGACTTTCATGTCTTGTGACCTTTGTCCATTTTTTGTTGATGTTCTTTAGGCTACATTTATTGATGTTCTTTAGGCTACATTTAGATTTATTTAAGAAAATAAACGATAATAAACACCACAATGCATGTGCCAAACTTCACTTTAGTTAATGTGTTAGACTCTGTTTATACAAAACATGAAAAAAAAAAAAACCACTAATGCTCCAGATATATTAAAGAATTAGACTAAAATTACTAACATTGGCAGTTTTCATATTTGAACTAACCCACTTCAGTGCATGACTTCTTTTTAACTGAAACAGTGCAGATTTTTCCTAAGACTAAATTTTGCTACAAAACGTTTTCAAAAGGTACTGTATGGGCTCATTCCGACATGGCCCAAACATGTTCACCTGTCATCTACCTATTTAAAGAAAGCAAAACACATCTAACAGGAGCTTTTTTTTACGATAAAAAGACTGAGTATATTGAACAAGTCTCCTGTAGCAGCAGGAAGGGTTTTTAGCTAGATGTACTGCTTTAGTTATTCAACATTCTGTTAGGGATAATCAGATTTTATCTTCTTGCACTACAAGGTTTTAATTGAAACTGCAATAACAGAATGTCCAATTTAACAAACGCAGCATCATCATAGTCAGAACAGGTGATAACAAGCCAAATAAATGTTAAAAAATACAATAAGATTAGAGATGCACGATATATCGGTATTGATATTGGTATCGGCCAATATTGGTCATTTTTTAGAATATCGGTGTCGGTCCGATATGTAAAACTGGGCTGATATAAACGTCCAATATTGATTTCCAACTTTTTAGCCTTAGTTTCTGTTTTGGGAGGGGAAATGTTTGGTTGAGCGGCATTTCTTTGATCATGATAGTGATAGTGACGCTGCGTAGCCAGGAATAACTAAAGTAGGGAGCCATGTCAGAGGTCTGGTCATTTATTTATGGTACCAAAAAGAGACTCAAGTGTGTCTGTGCATATACTGTATGTATAATATAATTTGTGTGTTTGTGTAATATCGGTAAATATCGGTTATCGGCCATAACAGCAACAATTATATTGGATATCGACATCGGCTGAAATTTTCATATCGGAGCATCCCTAAATAAGATTCATAAGTATTTGTACAAAGCAATCTAGCAATAGAATAAATGGAATGACAAAGTGGACATTTTGAAACTGACAGCAGCAGATGGCAGAAGTTACATCTTAAACCACAGCAGGTGATTCTTCATCTTAGCGCTGCTCTATCTTTGCCTACACACACTTTCAATTACAGATATTGCCTTTGTAAGCAAATGAATCAGTGGGGTTTATTGAGCAAGTCTTCTTTGAATCCAATTACAAGTTTCTAAGACATTGCAGCAGCATTTGTGTGTGTGTGTTTCTTGGTTTCCCCTTCACTGCTTCAAGAGTTGAAACCGTTCCAGCATACTGGTCCTTCAAAAAAGGTGAGGCAACAGAAAGCTCCCTAATGGCTTTCTTGCTTTATTTCTCTTTGTCTCTTTCACCCCCTCTGTTTTACTACGCTGCACCAGAGGATGAGGCAGCAAGGGCAGAAAGGTTAGGAAACACACACAGCAGAATGTAGAGTGAGTCTGAAAAGCATTTGCATCATTCAGCTGCAAACCTTTAGAAGAAAAAAAAAAGCTACAACACACTGTGCTTTTTCTGCAACATCTCTATGCACTGCAGAGCTTAGCCTTATCAATCATGACCTGCACTTTCTACTTCTTGCCAACGTGATGAAGAGAGTTCAGTCTAGGGGGAAGGAAGAAATGGGAATTCTTAAGTGAATTATCCTTGGCTGTTGAATTGGTGTGTTTTTTTTAAACAATGTCACATAAGCTTAATTGCTATTATAGAATAATGAAAATGAATTTGAAGTTAAAAACAATATCTCATGAAATTAATCTACTGTGCGAGAAGTTAAAATATGCAAAATGGTCTTTTATCGACTTGTATGTAAAAAATGAGCAGGAGGTAAATGTGGAAGGCACCAGCTCTGTGTGGTTTAATCTGTCTTATGCAAAAAAGATCTAGGTAAAGTAGAAGAATAGCTGACTGTGAGATGCAGAGAGCCAAAAGCCACAACATGAACTTTTTCAGGTTCAATACGTATTAGATCTTCCCTGACAGCTGAGCTCTGACAAAAGTACCTGGAGAGGAGACACCGTATTATTAAAAAATAAATAAAATAAGACAAGCTCACATTTACTTTTGCACTGGTCATGACTAGATTAGTAGTTCAAAATTAAACAATGTTATTACACAACATGTTTATCATGTAGTGAGGTGAGTTCCTCTGGAACAATAAGAATGTAATACATTTTACACAGATGTCTCACTTTTGAGTATGATTGAAGAGTCTTGAAGATGAAAATGGAAGCAAAGTTTGGATGATTGATTTCTAATTTTATTTATGAATAAAAAAAATTCAGTTTTGACTTTGAAATGAAAAAGCATTTCTGCTAATGAATTTTAATTTTCTGATTTGACTTTTCTAAATGAATTTTGGTCACTTTTTACCAGGACATGTTTTGAAAATTAAATGTCAAAGTTTGTGTTATTGAACATTTTAATTAATTTACAAATTGAGCAGTCTTGGAGAAGAAAATGAAAATGCAGTTTGGATTATTTATTTATGATTTTTTTATGAGTCATAAAGGCAGCTTTGACTTTGAAATGAAAAAGCATTTCTGCTAATGCATTTTAATTTTCTGATTTGACTTTTCTAAAAGAATTTTGGTCACTTTTTACCAGGACATGTTTTGAAAAGTCAATGTCAAAGTTTGTTTTAGTTATCAATTTAATTAATTTACAAATTGAGCAGTCTTGGAGAAGAAAATGAAAATGCAGTTTGGATTATTTATTTATGATTTTTTTATGAGTCATAAAGGCAGCTTTGACTTTGAAATGAAAAAGAATTTCTGCTAATACACTTAAATTTTCAAATTTGACATTTCTAAGTAATTTTTGGTCACTGTTTACTAGTACATATTTTGAAATTTAAAAGTCAAAGTTTGTTTTATTTATCATTTTAATTAATTTACAAATTTAGCAGACTTGGAAAAGAAAATTAAAATACAGTTTGGATTTTTATTTATGAATCACAAAATGCAGGTTTATGTTGATATATTG